GAGGACGTGTTATCCTGTTATTGAATGGAATTCAATTTGTCTGCAGATTTCTCCCTGAGCGACGTGGCCATGGCTTCCAACTGCACCACGCCCTCTACAGGTACCTACCAGTATTGCCCTGTACCCTATATCCCCCGTGAACTTCCGGGTTAGAATTGGTCCTCAGCAGCCTCTTGTCGCACGAGGCGACTAACGGGATCGGGTGGCCAGGATCGCTGATTGGCTGATTCATGTCGTCGTGTCCCAATTAATAATTGATGCTCATGATGTCAGTCACTAGATCCAGGCTCGACTATTTACAGACCGCTGTCTTATAGCTTGAATATTACTGAGTGTGGCAAAAACAGCAGTCAAACAGACAATACACACACACACACACACACACACACACACACACACACACACACACACACACACACACACACACACACACACACACACACACACACACGCACGCACGCACGCACACACACACACACACACACGTGCATGCACATGACTATGTTAATGATCACCTCTCATTCTGAAAGAAAAGCCCTTATTGTCTTCTGAACATTTGACATTGTGTTGCATTTCATGTCCTACCATTTTGCTATCCCACCTGCCCCTTGGCTAATCAGAGCCTATCGCCTTCTATCAACAACCCTCAATGTATTTTATGAACACATTTAAGACACGTGAGCTTTAATTCACAGTGAAAACTGAACTACCCTTTATTTCCATGACAACTTCTGGATGTTGATAACCATTCACATTGTCCAAGTATTTGGTGCAGATTTCGTTTTGATGGGCCTGAAAGTACTTCGGGTCAGGATAGCCCATTTTGTTGGGGTTCTCAGGTGCCTGACATGAAAGGTGATAGAGGGTTAGTCATTGATCTTTACCTTATGACATAATATATACCTTAAACATTTTGTACAGATTACAGAGATAAAGGGAGTTAGACTGTTGGTAATAATATGCCTTTGGGGAATGTTTAGTGTAAGTGGAATCAGTGGAAAACAGTATCAGGACTACCATTGAAACCGACCATGAAGAAGCCGAACTATGGAAAATGTACACCCTTTCAATAGAAATAGCCACACAAATTACAAACTTGACATACAATCTACAGATTACTGTCTTTTGTGGGCGATTTTTCGGACTTTTCACTGGATAGTATCTCTTTATTTAGCCTTTTGGCTTGGTGAAATGGATACACCATCAATTAGATATGTATTTTGGTCAATATTTATCAGAAATTTAGTTCAGTTTTTCCCCACATTCTGCTAATATAAAGTCAAAGCATTTCAGCATGACATTCCATTCCATTTCTAAATACATGAGTGACGTCATGTTTGACTGAAAATTAATGACTTTGTTGGGTTTCTTACGATGTTGATCAACATGTGTTTTCTGGTTTGCGGGTATAATTGAGTTTTTAATCATCAGAAATTTTAACATTTTAATTTTTAAACGTCAACGACAGAGAATAATCAGTCTCAAACATAGTCCCAAAATAGATTCCCTTAATAGATTCCATATGGCATTAGGGCAAACAAAGTGTCGGACAATATGTGAATTGTTATAACGTCGTCGGTTCCAAAATTAATCATATTTCCGGGCAACACAAAACATTGAAAACTTATAATGTTATCTTCTTAATGTATAAACATAATAATTATACGGTAACCAAGTGCTAATGAAAACATAAAGAACGCCCCACCTTCTGAAATAATCCCTCTGCCAAATCTAAAAGTAATAATATATAAATGTCCTAAAAGGAGAAACATAATAATTATACGGTAACCAATTGCTTATGAAATAATGCAATACGTCCCACCTTCTCAAACAGTCCACCTGCCAAATCTCTGTTCAACCACCTGGCTGTCGTTGCTCCAACCCCCTTAACAAGAGGAATTGATGATGAGCTGTCCAATCCATTCTTCCCATTCCATCGACCGTGGTCGAAATGTGTAACTTTGCCAATCTTGAGAATTTCAGGATAAATGGACACGGTGTAATCACATCTTGCGCTTGATAGAATGGACACGAAAAGTGTCAGACATTTCATCTCTGCTGCTTTCACGATAGATATCGCCTAACGAGAGAATCAGTGCCAATCTGTTGACAAGACTGTACCTTATATCCATGCATTGGAAAGAATGGTGCTATCTTATCAGTTGAACAATCCCTACAGTACATGTAGACATTTTAACCATAAAAAGACGTCAGAGTGAGATTTAAAGCTAGTTCAGAAATAAATCCGTTCCGCACCAATACATGTGGGGTCACGGGTGGCCCAGTCGTCTAAGGCGCCTCGATTCGCTGTGCAGAGTTGCGACCCTTGGGCACGCCAGAAACCTATGATTGTGGGTTCGAATCCCGGTTCGCCCCGATTATGTTTCTAGGTTTGTCAGCACAATACCCGTGCTCGTGGGTTTCACCGAAGTGGTAAACGATTGAGACCAACATCATTTCGGGCTTTCCTCCCACATTAAGCTGACACGCCCTGATATAACTGGAATACTGTTAAAAGCGGCATTAAAACCAACTCACTCACTCACTCACCAATACATATATGTGAGGTACACAAATTTACTTGGATTAAATAAGCAGCTAATTGTTAGTTGTATATGTAGTGACTGAGACGCCAGTGTATTAATAGTATATAATCATAAAATATATAATATGTACATATTTGATAGTAGAGAGGGGTACACTTTCAACATAAAAGGAGCATTTCCAGTATCTAATATTTTTTTATATGACTTTAACTAAAACAAATATTCTGCATACAATGATTTGAACGATGGCATTGGTGTGATTCTGTGCGCCTAATGATAACAACGACATTGTCCGACATTCCAATGTTTGCTTTCTGTTTGTTTGTTTGTTGTTTAACGCCACACTCAGCAATATGACAGTTTTATGACGGCGGTCTTTAAATAATCTTAAACGTATGACGCTGACGACTTGCGGCCACATAAGCTCGCATAGCATATAAATTGATATTTCTACCTTTTCAGGCTGTGTTGTAGACTATCAATTTGTAGAAATAACATTGGAATCATTATTACCTTATATCAACATTGCTTTAAATATGGATATGGCAGCAGTGTAGAGTTTATATCGTGTCCATATTTACAATGCAAAACTATCCATCTAAGGATCCCAAAATGGGATATCGAGTCACAAAATTGTTTGTAAGAACAAATCTTCCAAATACCTTGATATTTGCAAAAATCCGTTTTCCAATCATTAAGATAAATAAATAAATAAATAAATAAATAAATAAATAAATAAATAAATAAATATCCCCTACGCCTCTAAAAGTGCCAGTTTGTGTACGTAAACGTTCTTGTATGTTGTTTGTGGCCGGAGTCTGCACTGTTACGGCCATATCACATTATCCATTATGTGTGATGCACAATTTTCTGGGCTGGGTCCATTGCACTAACCTGGCTGATACAATAAAACTAAAGTTACGAACGATGTACGATACTGGTTACAATTCCAGATAATTCATTGAAAAAGTAGCAAAGTTGATCAGTACAATATATATGTGAGGTGCAGTTTAAGGTCGCTATGCAACCAATTTCTTTTATATCATGACACGTTAAGAGAAGTAGGCTTGGGCATATTTGTACTAACATTTTCATGTGCAACTAAAGCGATAACCTCTGTCAACACACTTATGTCAATTTTCACACATGACACCTGTAACTACTGTAGACCTTGACTGAAAATAGAAACGTAAATAGATAAACGTAATAGAAAAAAGTAAAGCCCAGAGTGACACGCGTTGTAGACAATTACAACATTGCTGAATCCCACGAGCAGGGGTGACAATGCACGTAGATTAAAAGTTGTGATTTTCCAAATAAGAATGACAGAGCAAGTTTTATCTTTTCACTTATATGTGCATGGTCACACCTAAAGCTCCAGTTAGAAATACTGAAAGATGTAAGCTATTAGCTTCTCAAGATTGCTGACATGCTCTCACAGTCCGCCACCTTCAAACTAGAATCACCCCTTTACGCTAGAAATCTGGCATACCAGTTAATTTGTCTTGACATCCAATTTAAGACGTCTTGAGTCATATCCGTGTGCACAGCTGGAACAAGTAAATTAGGCTGGGATTTTCACGCAGAAGGCCATGCATGCTCATAATGTTTTTACTCTTTGCAAGAACAAAAAGACGAAAAATATATTTCATCATTGAAATATTGGCATCTGCGTACCAGATAACCATTTCATGGCATCCAGCGTACTGTACTGCGGCATCCGAAATGCCACTTAACATGGCTTGGCATCAAGCGTACCAAAAGGGGCTTGGCACTCTCATTTTTCACAAAGTGATGTCTTATGGGGAAGCCTTATTCATATGAGCATGCAAAGTTAAAAAGCAATAATCAAAGCAAGTTAGAATTTTAGCATCAACCATTGCTTCAATGTAGACATTTTGTTGTCATGGTAAATACCATTAACTTATTATTTAATGACATTAAGCAAAAGTTATAACGTGTTGTTCAGCGTTCTTACGGTATGACGTCATTACACCTCAATCATGTTGTGATACATCATATCAAAATCATGACCTACTGGCATAATTAGAGAAAAAACAAATTTGGAACAACGGCCATTTTCGAGTTTGCCTTAACCGGCACACAGCAGTACTTGATGCACCAGTGCAGTTGATCAATTTGATTACAAATCACACTCTAGTTTTTCACACAGATCAAGATTTCTTATACGGGAAACCTCGTATCTGAAATAGTAGGAACTGAAAATACTTCATTTATGTATATTATAATATTCATATTGTATTGAATATAACTTCCAAATAACAATAACCTTATTCTTAATACACTTGCGTGCTTCACATGGCTTAACCTTTATCTCACAAGTTCTGGCTTTAGATCTCACGTTGAGGACACTTTACCGTCAACAGTCCTATATTTCCATACTGTCAGGATTTCGAAAACTGATAAGATAGAAAAGGCCTTGAATATCTCCGCATTGCATACAAACTTGTCAGCTGATCGTCACTGACCCTCTTGTTGGTCAGGTAATATAACATGAACGCAGTAGAACTGAAATGTATGATACTTTTCGTGTCTGTTCTGTCAAGTGTTCGATGCGATTACACAGTTTCCATTTACCCCGAAATTCTCAAGATTGGGAAAATTACTCATTTCGACCACGGGCGATGGAATGGGAAGAACGGACTGGACACACCGGCATCAATTCCTCATGTTAAGGAGGTTGGAGCTACAGCAGCCAGGTGGTTGAACAGAGATTTGGCAGGTGGACTGTTTCAGAAGGTGGGACGTATTGCATTATTTCATAAGCAATTGGTTACCGTATAATTATTATGTTTCTCCATTTAGGACATTTATATATTATTACTTTTAGATTTGTGGGTTGTTCTTGAATATCCAATGCCATGGAATAACATTTTGAACCGAAGACGTTTGTCTTTACGCCCTATGGAATTTGTTTTGGCATATATTTGAAACTGACTATTGTCTGTGGTTGACGTATTAAATTCCAAAGGATAAAATTTACGGGTATCAAATTATCAATAATTCCTGCAAAATCTGAAAACATGTTTATCGACATTATAAAACACAGTCGGTTATTGTCATTGTCATCCTTTGTCAACTTTCACAGTTTGTATTTTCAATCGTGTACCCATATGTACAGGATGTTTCTATATAGTAAGAGGTAAAGATGAGTGACATACCCTCTATCACCTTTCATGTCAGGCACCTGAGAACCCCAACAAGAAGGGCTATCCTGACCCGAAGTACTTTCAGGCCCATCAAAACGAAATCTGCACCAAATACTTGGACAATGTGAATGGATACCAACATCCAGAAGTTGTCATGGAAGTAAAAGGTTGTTCAGTTTTTACTCTTGTGTGAATTAAAGGTTGCGTGTCTTAGATGTGTTCATAAAATCCATTGAAAGTTGTCAATGGAAGGTGATACTCTCTCATTAGACAAGGGGTTGGCGGGATAGCAAAGACGGAGACATATAGCAAAGAGGGAGGACATGATATGTAGACCTGATACAACCACAATGACAAATGTTCATTAGACAACAAGGGCCATTCTTGTAGGTTGTGGATGAGGTGAAATGGGGTGCAACGTCACATTCAAGATGAATGAACTTATATAACGTTGTGTGTGTGTGGTGTGTGTGTGTGTGTGTGTGTGCGTGCGTGCGTGCGTGCGTGTGTGTGTGTGTGTGTGTGTGTGTGTGTGTGTGTGTGTGCGTGCGCGTGTGTGTGCTTGTGTGTGTGTGCTTGAACTAGTCCGGACTAATGCCATTTTTTAATAGTGCTAGCCCACTGATATATAGCCCACTGCTGCAGTTAAACATGAATACCCCACTCAGACACAGTATACTGACTCTGAGTCGATCAGTCCTTGTTTTAGCCCCTGAATGTCGAGCACGAGGCAGGGTAACAAGTACCATCTTTTAACGTCTTTTGGTATGGCGCGGTCTTGGATCGAACCAACGACCTTCCGCTCGCCGGGTGGACGCTCTATCCACTGGACTAAGCAGTTGGCAATTCTTTTTGAATGAGATGATCAATAACACAGTATGCACGTGTTTGTGTGGTTGCTTGTGCTAGTCCGTACTTGCTGCATTTGATCATGAATATCCCACTCACGACTCCGAGCGCCAGACAGGGTAACAACAAGTACCATCTTTTGGTTTGAAACCACCAACAACCCGCTCTCCGTTTTTGAGAATGGGTGGTGGCAGATTGCATTAATGCTGTTGTTATTTATAAAAACAAAAAATAGAATATGTGCTCATTCTCAGCATATTTGTATCCACACTATTGAGTCGACAGTGTTTACCTTGTCATTGATATATTGCAACCGGGCTTTGGACAAGTTGAACCTCATCGATATTTTGCTGTTGTTATCTAATGGGTTTTTTATATCCAGGTTTGAATTGGCCTCACTGGCTGGACACCTCAGCCCACCACGGATTCTTCCCTAACAACATCGATGCTGCAGCCGAGTTCGTCTTCCTGCTGATCGACGCAGTCAACAAAGGAACCAACGGAAAACCACCTCAGTTCTTCGAAGTTATTAATGAACCAGATGCTCAAGGAAAGAACACAAATTGGACTACCTATGTCAAATTTCATTTGGCTGTTGCTCAGAAAATTAAGGCAAAATATCCCAATATGAAGATTGGAGGTCCAACCTTAACTGGAGCCTCTTCTCATTTTGACCGTTATGACTTCCGGATTTGGAAGAGAGTAGCAGAGTTTCTGGACATGGCTCTGACGCACCTAGATTTCTTTTCCTTTCATTCCTACACAAATATGGATGTAACAGGAGGGTCGCATCATTTCCATAGGAATTCCGAAGCAAAGATATTCGGTCTTCTAGATCTAGTTGAGAGCTACTCTCATAAGAAGAAAGGTACTCAGTTCAACGTCATTGTCAGTGAATTTGGCCTTGGGCCATTAACAGGAATTGATGTACAGAAACCATCCACCTTTCTTGACTGGGCGTATATTTATCAACATAATTCCCAGATATTCACCTTTCTTCAACGTCGGGATGTCATGAGAAAAGTGGTAGCTTTCTTGCTCACATATACTGAACTTAAAGGGCAAGCAAGTATTAACTACAGCATCCTTGATAAAAACCACAACGAGAGGGACATTGCGCAAGCTTTCAAGTTCTGGAAGAACTTCCATAAGACAATGACATACTTGCGAGTAGACAGTCAGTTCCATAATGCTGAGAGGAAGATTGTACCCCACGTTTTAGTTGATCAAAGGAACGGCAGCCTCAGCATTCTTCTTCATAACAATGACCAAAAGCCAAATCATGTGACCCTACATTTTGACAAAGGTTGGTTCCATCCCACAAGTGGAAAGTCCACCTGTGAATATCTAAACGCACAGAAGAAACCAACTCTAGATACAGACACACCAGTTCACGTCACAAACTCCATGGTAACCGTTCCTGCTGAAGCGAGTTGTTACTTCCAGTTCCACACAACCCACAACTTTGCCCATGCTCCGACTGTGACCCAGAACACCTACTACTCCCCCGACATGGTAGTCCCCATTCACAATACCGTCGTCGATGTTGAAGTAAACGTCCCACCCGTTGGAAATATTGACTTTGTTCGTCTGAGAGTTAGTGTCAGTTTCAGCATGAAGTCTCCACATCAGAAACTAAAGACGGTGGTTGTTAACACTCACACCTTGACGTCCTTCTACTCACTGCATACCCACAACGGCCCGGATGAAGACACTGTATGGAATGTCTTTGAGTACAACGTCCCCAACAACATGCTACAACAACACAACAACGACGTCAAACTTAGCTTCTCTGAGGCTGGGGGTTATCTGTCCACTGTGGCAGTGATCGTTGGGAGTCACTGAGGGGGATTTCTGTGCGGAATCGCATAGCTGAATAAATCTTATCAAAACATATAACTTGTACTTACATTTATCACCCCGTGGACAACATAAGATTTAAAGCAAGTGCACCTACATGTATATATTACAATAGCAACGAATGTTGAAAATGTTGAAGTGAACAATTAATGACAAAAATCACGTTGGCAAGTACCTATACTATCCATTTTTCTCTGAAACATGAAATGCATTAACGTGGTAAGAAAGGTGTTTTATTTAATGAGAACAGTGCCAAAGCCAAAGTGGTTTTACTATCTTCGTGTTTCGATTATCACGTTGACTATTTGATCCTTTTCTAACATTCTGCTCTTTTAATTAAGGTTAATGATAAACAAACACTACTATTTAAATTATCGTTAATGATAAAATAAGACTAATAATAATAAATCACCATTTAAGTCCAAGAAAGCAACCAGACTGTGTTTTATCTCTATGAGTGAGTGAGTTGGATTTAATGCCGCTTAGAACAGTATTCGAGTTACAACACAACGTGACAGCTTGATGTGACAGGAACACCCGAAGTGATGCAGGTCTCGGACGTTTACCACTTTGGTGAAACACAAGAGGACGGTTATGATGATGTGACAGGTTAGCTCGAAGTGATGCAGGTCTCAGACGTTTACCACTTTGGTGAAACACAAGAGGACGGTTATGATGATGTGATAGGTTAGCTCGAAGTGATGCAGGTCTCAGACGTTTACCACTTTGGTGAAACACAAGAGGACGGTTATGATGATGTGATAGGTTAGCTCGAAGTGATGCAGGTCTCATACGTTTACCACTTTGATGAAACGCAAGATGACCGGGACCAATAAACAACCGTGATTCGAACACAATGATAGGTTTCTGGATCGGCCAAGGCACGCAATACTGCATGTTGAAAAGGTTGTACCGTCTTGGGTGTAGTTGTCTACAGGCTAAAGGAGTTGTTCAACACCTGCAGGTCTGACTGTACAGTTTCATCCAGGAGAGCCTACTGAACATTTCTAGGTACTATGTAATGACAAATTATCGGTCTAATGCCAGGTACCTATTGTAAAAACTAGGTTCATTTTATAAATATACCTGTATGGAGGGATAAAGACAATATTTGTAATAACAGTTACATGAGTTATAACCATGGCACAGAGTTACTTCGGTGACCACCACATATTTCTAGAATGTATTTCAGTTAAGCCAATATCAGTCATGGCAGCCAATTTTCAAATTGGTCATTCTAAACCAGAATGGCACACAACTATTGTGGCCAAAGATTGCTTTAATACGTTTAATTCACACATAAAACTAAGCATCATTAGGGTAGTAGTGTTTTGTATTAATTCTTGGTGTAAATCCAGTCAAGACCTAATATCTGTCGTCCATGATAGACATGCTACAAAATGGCCGCCATTCCCGACCATTGACAGTCATACCTTACAATACATTTTAGACAGTGTACATTTCTGAACATATCAATACACATTAAGTTATCCAAACTTTAGGGTTGGTAGGCCACAGTTCAATTATACATATTTGGCATAGCGTACCATTTGGTAAGATATCTGCACTTGTCCAATATCAATCCTAATGAGAAGAAGTAACTGTGCATCATATACATTTTAAAAAAAATACATTTATTCTGAAATTAAACAATACAACGCTCAAAACAAATTCAAAAAGACATCACCTCGACTTTAAGATCGTGATTCACAATTTACAGGTGCAATGCCTGGAGCACAATTTGGATGTTTGCGTGTTTGTATCGAGCATGATACTAAGACACATGGTTTGCGAAGGTAAACAGCACACAATGATTGTTTACCTGTCAGGTGCTCATACAGTACTTTTGTTTAACCGTAAATAACGCTTACACAATGCATTGGCTTGCTGAAAACCAACGTCTACACGCCTTGGGTACACTGCCAACAGGGATGGCGGAAAACCGGAAGTTTTGAAGGTCATCGAAACATAATATCATCTCTTTGGAGACGTTACCTGAATGAATTGCCACTTGCCGTCCACCCACATTTGACGTCACATCAACAAGATAACCATGTAGACCCGTGAAGATTCCGGGGTAGAATAGGTCTTCAGCAACCCATGCTTGCCGTAAAAGGTGACTATGCTTGTCGTAAAAGGCGACTAAAGGGATCGGGTGGTCAGACTCGCTAACTTGGTTGATGCATGTCATCGATCCCAATTGCGCGGATCGATGCTCATGATGTCAATGACTGGATTGTCTGGTCCAGACTCGATTATTTACAGACCGCTGTCATATAGCTGGAATATTGCTGAGTGCGGCGTTAAACAACAAACAAACAAACAGACAACCATTGTATGGTTAATGCATTAATGCCACATTAACAGCTCGAACAATTCCTGGGTTGATATCAATTAGTAGCGGAAAAATACACAACCGGTTGAAGGGTTACAACATCCGGTCCCATCCAGTGATACGCCCAGTTTTGCTTACACCCCACCACCAAGCACGCCTTGTTTGGTGGAGACAGCATCTGAGTAAGTGAGTATGGTTTTACGCCGCTTTTAGCAATATTCCAGCAATATCACGGCAGGGGACACCAGAAATGGGCTTCACACATTGTACCCATGTCGGGAATCGAACCCGGGTCTTCAGCATCCTAGAAGTATTGTGAGTAAGTGAGTATGGTGTAACGCCGCTTTTAGCAATATTCCAGCAATATCACGGCAGAGGACACCAGAAATGGGCTTCACACATTGTACCCATGTCGGGAATCGAACTCGGGTCTTCGGCGTGACGAGCTTACGCTTGAACCACTAGGCTACCCGACCGCCCCAGACAGCATCTGAAGTTCAGAAGACATGCGCAGTATGTAGTACAGGTTTCCTCTGGACAGATGTGATGGTCGTGCAAGGAGCCGGGTTCGCTTCCCTACATGGGTACAATGTGTGAAGCCCATGTCTGGTGTCCCCCGCCGTGATATTGCTGGAATATTGCTAAAAGCGACATAAAACCATACTCACTCACTCACTCATATATTATGAATGAGACACTTGAATAGAAACAAACTACAAACTAATTTGAAAGACATGGGTAAAAACATGTTTGATGGTTAATCATATTATTGAAAAGTGTCATAACTTGGTATGCCCTTTTGAAAATTGTCTGCGATAACTGTCTTTGGCCTTTTTGAAATATATTCTACAACTAGAAATCTTTGTTGGTCACTGAAGTAACTCTGTGCCAAGATTCATAAGTTTGTTGATTACCCACGTGGTGAAGATACAGGTGATAAGATACTAAATCCGTACGTCACACGTGTGTCGTACAAGGTTGACCTTGTTTTATTCGTTTTAATTGGATAAATGTTACCTCTGTCACACAGGAACTACTTTTTATATTCAATATTCATGAGCAACCACATTTGCAACCGGTTTCAGTTTGGTATGTTAACGAACAAAAGTTGTTATGTATTTACACTTAAATACATATTTAACGTGTGTAAAATAAAATACCACACTCATTCTCGTTTAACTATACACGTTAATAACGGTCAGGAGCTCAATATCCCAAAATATCAACATTCTTTGAACATAACATGTTCATGAAAAGTGTGGAATATAGTTATTGGTGACATTTATTAGTTACCACCTCCCGCACGCGAGTCAACACGAGGTATGTTTACACATTTCTACTGTCGTAACAATCGTTATATCAAGAGTCTAGAAAAGTCAGAAGAGAAATGTCAACACATTTAGACATTAAATACTTGATTATCTGAATATATCATCACTTGCTTTGATAAATACAGGAGCAAGCAAAAGTCGAGCAAGGATTGTAGAAATGTACGTATTTGAACGGCTATTTGTTGAGGCTCTTGCTTGGTGTTGATGTTGTCGCATTGTAAGCACCTCAGAGAAAGATACACCAATTACCAAAACTGTTTAAACGGTTTAGAGGGTTAGAAGGTTAGAAGGTTAGAGAAAGGGTGGGTGGGTCGTTGGAGAGTGCCCGCCTCTGATATGAAGGCAGAGACCATATTAGATGACTAAATATTAGCTGAGATAATGATTAGGATAAGATCCTTTGAAAATTATTTGAACTCACATTCTTGTGTCACTTAACGATACACTGCTTGGGACCCAAGCTTCCATAGAGTAATTGCACTTAGCTGAGATAATCGAGACTGGGTATTCACTGTTATTTATTTGTAAGTGAATCGTGAAAGGCAGTTGCACGCTGTAATTGTGATCAAGGAGAACACTGTGAAACGTGATGTTCTTATGGTGATGTCTGGTTATAAATTCAAAGAAGACATTTTTCTCGACATTGCTGACACATGTTGAAATGTTGAAGAACTTGAGAGTTTGGGTTGAACCCCCTAGAAGTGTAAATGTATCTTACTGTTTTGGATTTGTTAATGAGTTACTGACAATATTGAAGCAACTGCATATTAGTGCTTCACATTGACACTTCAAAGTAAGTCAATATGATCAGCAATTACAGTACATTACAAAGGCGATAATATCTTATATATGACAATAACAAGAAAGATGGAGTTCCTGGTTGAAACCTAAATTTTGACATTTAAATTTCTCATACATTCCGAAGTGAAGACGAAATATTTTCATTTTTCTATATTGGCGGCAATCGTGGAGGCCATTTTGTCCGCCATATTGGATAAATCCAATTTCTTAAGCTCGTACAAGATACTTAAACGATTCATGTGTTCAAATATAACAGGGGCTGTCGGGTAGCCTAGTGGTTAAAGCGTTCGCTCGTCGAGCCGAAGACCCGGGTTCGATTCCCGACATGGGTACAATGTGGGAAGCCCATTTCTGGTGTCCCCCGCCGTGATATTGCTGGAATATTGCTAAACGCGGCGTAAAACCATACTGACACACACACACTCAAATATAACAATTTAGTGTACAAGAATGTGAGTGTTGCCATAGTAATTTTTTCAATATGAAATTACATATTTGATGTGTTCTTATGAGGATGGTGTGTGTGTGTGTGTGTGGGGGGGGGGGGGGGGGGGTGTGGGGGGGGGGTG